TGTGGGTTGGGATACCAACTGACAAAAAAATACTTGATAGCAAAGTGAAGACTGGATAGACAATTTGACTGGTGCTGATATTGAGATTAGTTTGAATACTAAGACTGGTTATGTTGACTTGGAGAATTTCAATTTCGTGATGATGCTGGAGAATGGAGTTTCGAAGGAAGATGTCACCAAATACATAGTGGATGTAATGGAGGGTCAAGCACAAAACTAATCCATCAAAAAGTGTATCGTTTATAGGTCTGACAATGAGTCTAGCAATGGGTCAAGTGAGTCAGAATCTGGCATGCCGGATTCCGACGCATCCAATGACAAGGAAGTTATAAGTCCAAGGGTAGGGGTTGAGTCTAAATTTTCTATTTATTCTAAGTTTGAGTCAGATGTAAGTTCCCTTACTTCAATTCATGAAATAATGGATTATTTTGAGTACCCGCAGCGCCATTAGTTAACAACATTGACCCCACCAACTTTAAAGATAAAAATGAAAAAGATTTTCGAGGAAGAAATCTCTTAAAGCATAAAAGACTTAATTGAACGGGAAGAGGAGAGATGCGCTAAACCTATCATAGACGAAATAATTTCAATAAACCTAGGCGATATGGAAAATCCTTGCATGGTCCAGATTGGATCCACGCTGTCTTCGGAGGAACACGAGTGCTTAGTCGCTCTTTTAAAAGAATTTAAAGATGTGTTTTGTATGGTCTTACGAAGATATGCTTAGAATTGATTATGAGATTGTACAATATAAAATTCCCCAGGCCTTTAGGCTAAACCTGTGAAGCAAAGGTTAAGAAGAATCTGCCCAAATTGGGCCCTTAAGATTAGAGAAGAAGTGACAAAACAAATCAATGTCATATTTTTAATAGTATTAGAATATCTAACATGGCTACCCAACATACTTTCGGTCCCATAGATGGTAGAACCACAGTTTTTGTTGACTTTAGGGACTTGAATAAAGCTAGCCAAAAAAACGATTTCTCATTACCACACATTGATGAGTTAGTAGATTTCACAGTAGGGCATGCACTTCTATCATTTATGGATGGATTTTTGGGTTATAATTAGAGCATGATGGCACCAGAAGATGGGGAAAAGACAACTTTCACTGCTCCATGGGGAATGTATTACTATAGAGTCATGCCATTTGGATTGAAAAATGTTGGAGCTACCTACTAGAGAGCCACTACTACACTATTGCATGACATGATTCACAAAGAGGTAGAGGTGTATGTGGATGATATGATTGTCAAATCTAAGGAAAGAGAGGATCATTGCGTAGCTCTAAAGAAATTCTTCAGAAGGATCTGTAAGTACAGACTAAGGTTGAATTCGCAAAAGTTTTATTACATGCCCTAAAAGGGAAATTTTCAGTACTCACAAGTTTTATTACATGGTTTTGAAATAAAGGATGGAATAAGCACACAAATTTATCTCTTATTTTGATACAACCCTTTTTTTTAAGAAATTTGAAAAAACGTCAAAACAATGAACTAGGAGCACAGTCGAGTCAAGTCTTTTGTCCCTTATTTGCACTCCCAGAGGCCTCCTGTCTCTTCCTTACATTGTCGGAGGTCTTCTCCATTGGGACAATGCTAGCTTGTGCCTGTTCTTCTAGCTAGAATAGATATTCATTGGATAGGGCATGAGCGAATGTGTCAGCAGGAGCCAAAAGTCCTCTCATCCTCCAAGCGAGTGTATATCGGGAGAGATGTGTGCCCCAAAATAGAAATGAAGCAGGGTACTTAACTTCACCAACATGATGGGTTTGATCATGTCTGAATTGTCATCTGAACTTAAATGGGAAGTAAAAGATGCAGTGGATCAAGCCAATTAGTTGCACACTTAGCTGAAGGAACATGCTACAAGTCATTTGGGGCAAGTCAAGCCAGGGGCATTGCCAAGCAATGTCAGCCACAAACCTATGATGCATCTAGTTGTACCACACTTCCTCTGAGGGAAAGTTCACCAGCTGGTAGTGAGAAAAGTAGCGTCTGGCCAAATACTGGGTACAAAGAGTCATCACTTTTAACTTGTCCATCAACCATATCTGGGGAGGGATTAAAAGAAAGAGAGGTTAAAGAAAAGAGAGGAGTATGTTGAGAGAAAAGTGAGCAAAAGGGTGATAGAAGTGTTAACAAAAAGAGTGTTGAGTGCTAGAGTGATGTGAGCACTAGAAAATGAGAAAATTATGGGAAACAGTACCTGCAGAAGTAATGGACTTCCTGCAAAGTGGAAGGTTTCTTGTTGATGGAATGCATCCAAGTCCATCAAAGTCTTGGCTAGTGCCAAGCCAAAACAGCTCTGACCTTCCCGAATGCATTGAGTTATGTCAACCAATTTAATGCTAACTTCAAGGCCACTAGGAACAAGTAAGAAATGTGTCAGAAGACATAGACAGAGAGCATGTTGTTGCTGCCCACGCCAAAGACGATCATTTCTATCACCAACTTTTGAAAATCGACAAATCAAGGCAAAAATGTCCACTTCAACTTATAAGCTAAAGACCAAGTTTCATTTAATTCTAGACCGCACATTTGAAAAAGGGCCTGTGCATAGCCAAAATTGAATTGGGGCATAATTTCCTCATCTCGAGGAAGCTTCATTAGCGCTCGAAATTCTTTAATAGTCGGACATAACTCTTGTGTCCCAAAGTGGAATACATCGGTGACCGAATTCCAACAACAACCAACTACACGAAGAAACGAAAATTGAAACGGGGCACGATTCAAAGAGAAAAGTGCATTTAGGCCAACTCTGGCGAAATTCACTTTATCCGTGCCATCTAGGGTGGCCATCCAATCATTGAGCATAATGAGAGAATTCTCCATTTTGAAAGAGCAAAACTTTTATCTTCTCACTTCTGTGGCATTACAACATGTAAGGATCACCCTTTATAGAAGATGGTGGCTTGGAAATACATAATAGTTGTTTCCAACTATGTCACACTAACTGGTCAGCTGGCCGACCAACTTTTCTGCCGGCCGGCCGCTTTTTCTTCTCATCATTTGGCCGACTATCCAACAAATTAGTCGGTTGGCCAATAAATTGGCCGGCTGGCCAAATTGCTCTATACCCAGATTTGAAAGCTGCAGCAAAAGACAAGGCTCAACAGTTTGTCTGTTAAGGGCTTGTGGCATGTTTAAGCTGTTTATGCTTTGTTTTTCTATTATTGAGTTGTATTTTGAATTTTGGACAGTTGAAAGCTCAATGACCAATTCAAAACTTACTGAAAATTAATCATTCTTAGTTTCAAATTCACAAACAAATGTGCCATGCCATTCACACCACGATGTCCAGAATGAAAATCTCTTTTATTCAAATTGAGGATCTAAACTTTCCGATTATAGTTTTGAAAACAAGAAAATTTCAAAAACATAAAAAATGGAAAAAAAAAAACATCTGAAGCTTTAATGCTCAATTCCTAAGCAAAATATAGGGTAAAAGAGAAAAGAGACACGAGAGGGGAAAAAAAAGGAAGAAGAAGAAGAAGAAGAAGAAAAATAAAAATAAAAAATAAAACCCAGAGATTACAAGCATGGTTCTTAGTTTCCGGCGACTTGTGGCTGACATCTTAGCTTCACCACTCGCTTCCATTGTCAGCCGCCTCACTTCAGCATCACTTGCGAGAAGCTCTTGAAGACTCTGCCTCAGCATTTGTAGAGCTTTCAAAGGAGATTACTCCACACCGGCCATCAAATGAAAAGTATGAAGGAACTCTGAATCAGGCCATGGAGGTAGCCTGTTGTTTCAGCTCTTTGTTATGCTTTTTCAGTGCGTCATCTCTTCTCGAGCATCATTGTACATACGTTGGAACAGAGAGAGTTGTGCGTTTAATAGATGTACCTCAGTTGTCCTATTTTGTAGCCGGTGGGACAAATTGGAAACCGCGGTTATCGTCTCCACACGGGACTTTAATGTGTAGTGATTGGCATTAATGTCAAACTACGCTGCCATTGTTTACTCGACTGACATCGCAAGAAAGCTGAGAATAGAGGCATGGGTAGAGGCACTTGGTCGAGGCTTAGAGGAGCCAGTGTCGGCATTCTCAATTGGAGAAGGGTTAAGGTTTGCGAAAAGAGAAAGAGGGTGACCAGAAAGAGCCATGTCAAGGTTGAAGAAGTTTGGGTTATGGCAGAGGGTGTATTTTGGCAAGCTTTTTGTTTCTACTATGTCTCCCTTGTGAGTTGTGGTTAAGAAGAGAACAGAGGAGAAGAAAACGCCAAAGAAGAGGGGTTGCCGATGCAATCATCGACAATCAAGGTCGGGCCAAATGTTGCCAGTTAGGTGTCGCGATTGTTGAAATCGCGCACCAGACACAGCACTCGGCGAAGATGAATGAGGAAGAGAGGGACAAACATGGGAGGAGAGTGTGTTTGTATACATATACCGTATGTGTATAATATATATTTATGTATTTGCATATAATATATATTTATGTATTTGTATAGGTATATAATTTGTTTGTGTATATATATAATATGTATATGTATCCTTATCTTGTATATTGTCCGTACGTATATATAGTGTATACATAATATATATTTTGTGTATATATATAGTTCGTATAAGTATATGTGTGGTACGTATATGAGTCTATATTGTATGCATATATAGGCTTGCATATGTATAAATACATCATTGGTGTATGTTTTTATAAATTTAATCCCTTTTTTGTATATCTCATATTGTATATTTTATAATATCATTTAGGATTTGAGATAAGTATATATACATGCATCATGTAATTTGCTCATTTATGTACATAAAAGAAAGAAACCATATATATATCATCATAAGTTTTAGGTCATCATTTTACATCAAAATAAAAAATAAAAAATAAAAGAAGAAGAAGAAGAAAAAAGAAAAGGAGAAAATGGAAAATACATCATGAAAAAATGAAGAAAATACATCATAAAAGAAAAAAAGAAAGCAACATGAAGCCCGCTTCATCCTCTTCCGAGGTGGCTTGTACCACTAGCGAGCGCCATGGCTCACTACTCTCAGAAACCTCGGGGTCAGCACCAGCATCTCCGCCACTATCACTCTCCTCGATGCTCTCTCTATTGTCCTCCTCGAAGTGCTCCTCAAATGCCTTTAGCTCTAGCTTGGGAACCTCAGAGGATGCTCTCCTCCTTCTCCTACCCTGGCCATCTATACCATAACCTCACTCAACCCGACCTCCTCTTTCTTATCCTGGAGCTCTCCATCCTTTCCTCCCCATGGCTGGAGAAAAGGGTATCTAAAAAAGATAAAGATCATAATATCATAACATGTGGCATAAAATAAGTAGTATATCAAAAGTGAATGAAATAGAAAGAACTGCATAAGGGATGAAATGAGTAAAGAAAATGCTATCCCAATCCCAACAGAGATCAGAGATGCCTCCCTCCTCCGCACCATGACCATCAGTGTGTCGATGAGCTCTAAGCACTGACTAGTGTAACCCATCTCTGGGTACTGCAGTCAAAAGAGAGATTAGTACTGAAATAAAATAATGAGAAATAAATGAGAAAGTAGCAAGGAAAAGGGTGAACCGGTTGAATCTCAGGAGTAAGGAACTCCAAAGGTAGCTCATCCAGAACGCCATTCGAGGTCTGAAATATAACCGCTGTGGGAAGTGTCGGATGTCCGAGAGAAAAGGCAACATCACTAGCAGGAGGTGCGAGACCTCTAGTGGCAAGAGCAGCACCAGCGAGAGCATCATGACCAGTGGCATGGGCATTAGCAACTCCGATGGCATGAGCCCCCCTCTTAGTTAGAGGTGGCATGATGTGAGACCGCAAGAATGTGGTATAGTTTCCGGGGATATAGAAGGCATCAACAGCTACCCCAACATCATATCATCAATGAGGGCCTCGTTAGTGATATCATCAATAGTCCTCATGAGCGAAGAAAGAGAAGACGAAATGCGAGGGTCAACATGGCCCAAAGTCTGGCGGGTGAATCGCTCTCTCAAGTACCAGACTCTGCAAAAGGGGCCCTCCAGCAGCACCCTCATCTAGGAAGTCTCCCGGGTAGCAACATATCTCTCCCTCATTATGGTGGGCATTGGCGTCCAAGGGTGCCACTCAATCTGCAAATGAAGAATGAACAACTTAGTGGCCTGATGTAAAAGACAATAAAGGGGAAAAGAGAGTTCTTAGAATGATTACCATGTCAGCAATCACTGTATCGAAGAAGCGACGAAAGGCGATGAAGCTACGGATGTGCCGACAACGAGGGCAAAGCCTCCCATCATAGTACAGGAAGCGAGGCACTGCCAGGGGTATCTCAAATCTTGGGATCGGCGCGATGGAGAAAAAGCAAGTGTAAAGTCATAATTGCACGAAAGCATGTCAAAAAATCAAGAAGCAAAAGAAATGGAAACGAAACAAGTACAAGAAATATAGCTGAATTAAAAGAAAGTGCAGAATGTACCTCACATGCTCTTTAATAGCCTCTAAGTAGCTTCGTCCTTCAGCGAGACACGTAGCTCATGTACCCATTGAGGGTGGCAAGGCTAATTCCACCCTAGTCATCCTCCCTCACCCGCTCGAGCTCCACCATGTTGCTTAGTAGATAAAGTCCTATGGTATTATCCCTGTTCGCAAATAGGGTAGTACCGATGACATAAAGAAGAAACCCACAGGCATACTGGGCAACCTCCACTAGAGTCACTAGCTCTAACCCGTGGAAGTGCTGCAAGAGCCAGTTGCACCTGATCATTCCATGGCGAGTGAGGGACGAGACAGCCCCAAGAAGGAACATCTGAGCAGCCGGCCACTGGCTCAAGTCAAAGATTAAACGGGATTAGATCACCGCCCACCGAGATACCAGTGACCATAGAGAAGTCATAGGAGGTCACCGTCATCTCCTTGGCAGACGAGAAGTGGAAGGAGTTTGTGGTGTCCCACCACCTCTCTACCAAGGCGCTAAAAATCGACCGATCCACTTGCAATGATGTGATGCCCAGGTAGAATGTGCCTAATTTTTGGCTCTGTCCACCAAGGTACGAACCTCAGTGGGGGTCTCTGTACCACTAGCGAGCGCCATGGACGCTCCTATATCCACTCATCCGCCTGCCGTTGACCTGTGACAAGATAATTGTTAGCACACAGAGATTGAAGCTATCAAATGTGTTTAAAGCATTGATACGCTAAACAAAAAAAGAAAAGAAAGAAGGAATATCGTGGAGGACTCATAGAAGAGGTGCCTCGAGCACTCCCGGAGCAACATGTCCTCTGCGACCTGCCGAGAGAACTTAATAAAGCGTAGCATTCCCCCCGAACCATCGTATATGTACGGGGTTTGTAAGCCACATGATCAAATGGCCTTATCCTCAAAGGGACTAGTTCTGGTGCTGCATTAACATCCTCGGCCATGATATCCTCATCGTGTCCCTCAACATCTGTGACAAGTGCAGGAATATCATCTCTAGGCACAGGTGATGGTAGGTCACCTTCAGTGACGATAGTAAGTGGTACAATATCGTGCAGAGCATCGTCACTAGCCATGACAATCTGTGGAATCAAAGAAAGAGTATGAGAAATCCCAACCCAAGTTATAGCAATCAAAACATCAGTCAAAAGGGAAAATTTGGAATAGTGATTGAAATGTTCTAACATTGTTAAAATTTTGGAAGAAAAATGCAAAATCAGTGGTAAATTGAAGAAAATCTCAAGAGATTTAATTTAAACAATGTTAAACTGAGGCGTGTAAAAAAAAAAAAAAAACAACAATGTAAATTCAAGGTTGAATTAAGGGAATTTGTGTTCAGTCATGGAAATTTTATTCAATACCCAAATCAAGTTGAAATTCATGGTTCAAGTTGAAATTCAATCAATGGGGCATGTGGCAAAATTGTGAATAATCCAAAGACATGGGCAATTCATGGGCAATTGATCAAGCACTCAAGGAAAATTGTAAAGAACAATGAGTCATTGTATGGAATCAATGTTCAAACAATGAGTAATCATCCAAAATTCAAACAATTCAAAGATGCTATTGTTCAAATCCATGGTCAATTGACACTACTAAAACCACTTTTTGTAACCGCTATAAGCCATCACAAATAATAAAAATATAGCTGCAAAAAGATCTTTTGCGATAGGTCATGCAACGGCAAATAGAGGTCGCCAATGTTGGGGTGATAAATACTTTTTGCGACCGTAAAACAACAATCGCAAACTATTTGCGACCGCCTAACCTACTTATGGCGACTGATGTTTGCCATCACAAAAAAGTTTTAAAAATGCCTACAATGTATTAGCGACCATCCTATTACCATCGCACCAAAAAAAAAAAAAGGGAAGTGATTAAGACCCCCTCCAATCACCACCCCCACCACCCCACACACACGTGGCGGGTGGTGATTGGAGAATAAGGAAAAAAAGAAAAACTGGCCAATCAGAGAGAGAGGGGGTCAAAGGGGGTGCCTTCTTGAGGGGGTCCAACTCATTTTCCAAAAAAAAAATACAGTATAACATTAAAAATCTGGGAATAGCTATGGCCAAAACACTATCCATTAAGCATCAACAAGAAACATAACAATGTAACGTTCAAGAGGTGAAATGGGACTTGGCAACATAAAAAACATTGAAAATGAAAAAATAAATAAATAAAAATAACAAAGAAAAAAAAAAAAGAAGAAGAAACACACCATACCCCTTCCAAGCTCTTAAGTAACTTGCTCACAAACAATAATCAAGTGTCAATGTTCAAGAAGAGTCTCGGGAGCCTTATTAATCCATTAAGTTTCAAATAAAACCAAATAACTAGCTTCAAACAAAGCAAAAAAATACTATCTGAAAAACTCCATGCCAAGTGAAGATGTTCAATTAAAGAGGCCCTACGAAAATCCCATTCTCCTGTTGCTCATTCCACTTTTCAGTCTGTAGTAATTAATGCAAAAAGAAAAATCAAAACATATACTAAATGAGGTGCCTTTAATTTTTTTTAGTTTTACAATAATCAAGAAAAAATCGTATACATCAAAATGGTTACAAAGCATAGATTTCCCATTTCCTTGATATTACATTATACTTTGAAGTTACTTCTACATATTCATGTTGTTCATCTACAATCCAATCATCATCATAGTAATTTGTGGAAATATATATATATATATATATGTAATATATGTATTCCTAGGTTAGTAGCCATTAACAATAGAATGGGTGATTGAAGCATTATATTGTACCATTCAATCAGATTCCAATGTCCAGTATTTTGGTTTGCTAGCAACTTTCAGGACCTCGTATCTTGTGGCCATTGAAACCAAATTTTGAGATTAATGATCAGTGAGAAAGGAAGGGAAAAAGAACGGAAAAAAAAGTATATATAATCACTACTCTGCCCTAGGTTTAACTTGTTAAAATTGATATCTAACACACATATGGCTTCTAGAATATGGAAATTCACATATTGCTCTTCGAAGATTCATAATTCAGATAAAGAAATGTTGGAGCAAACAATAGGAAAAGATGAGCAATATAATTGAGTTTCTTTTTCTTTTTTAACCAAACCCAAGTCTTTCGAAACAAATTAACAAACCAAGCACTATTCAGCCTAGTGTTTTTGAAACACACTTCATGAAACAACCAGCATTTGGTAAATAATATGAAGAAAACAAGTTTCCAGTAGCCTTATTCATTAAGTATACAACTAAATTATATCAGAAGCACTAAAAACGATACCTGTGATTGAGAGAAACACGCCCCCTAGGGACACCCAACCTTTAATACCAGTGCTTCTGAGGAACTTTAACATGTAAACTGGAAAAAGTGCATGAAATCTACGCGGATTCCACGTGATAATGTTATATTTAAGGTTGTGTTTGGATCTTAGATTTGTGGAGAGAAAAGAAAAGGTAAGAGAAAATTAAATGAAGTAGAGGCTTTTTTTTTTCTTCTTCCCCTTTTCCTGCACATCCAAGATCCAAACATAACATAAAGGTAACAAAGAACTAAACTTACTCTCATGAAGTCCTGTGAATTTAAGTTTAACACCTGAAATTGCTAAAAGAACTAAAAAAAAAAAAAAGGAAACATGCAAATCTCTTAAAATAATGGAACCGTAATCCTGAAAATACAACCTTTCTAAAAATAGAACAGATAGAGAAGTCCCTGTACATGGAATTGAAAAATCCTTCACATATCCGTTTTGACTTGGAATTTGTGTTTCATCATTTAGAATTCAGGGGAAAAAGAGAGAAAAATTTCCATCATAGAACTCATATAAAGCACAACTGTTAGGCATGTAAACAGACAGAAGAACTGTCATTTTCACTCTTGCACACTAAAAAATAATTCCAGTAACACAATCTTTGGTTAAGATTCTTTACTTTACCCCCATAATTTTTGTTACATCATGAATATGCTTACCCCTTGTCACAAATTCAGTTGGTCCATGCCAAAGAGTAAATTTAAATTACGTTATTATCTCTATGAGCAAAATCATCAATAAGAACATAGGCAGACAACCTACTTCAAGAGAATATTGAGAGATTTTCAACTTCATAAGTCCAAATGGAGAACTTATCCTATTAAATCTAAAGCCAACTCAAATTCAACAATGGCCAACCATTACTTTTCCATGTTATTGTTGAGGGAAAAATAAAGAAAAGAAAAGAAAAATCACATTTTCTCCTTTCCACGAGTGATGAATGTAAAAGAATGATAGAAGTAGATTTGAAATACATGTATTACATATAGCTATACAAAATAGAGCTCTGCTGAAGGTATGTGTTAAGGAGCAGTATTCATCCAAGTATAGGTTTGGACATGTCATTTGCTAAACAACGCATATGATTTTTATGTTAGTAAATAAATAATTATATAACTCAAATTGAAATCCATTGTTAAAATCCAGCCAACCACTAGGCTAGAGATTTATTTATTTATTTATCTTTTTTGGTGATTGGCTGAATTGAATGATTGAATTTAGAATTTTATACCATTACTGATATCAAGGTTTAAAACGAGAAAGAAGAAAGCACTGCAATATGAATATCAGCTACCTGATTTAGCAGGAGTGAGTATACCATCACCAATTGCCATAGACGTTCCAAGCAAAACAAAAATCAATAGACCCTTGAGATGCTACTCGAAGAATGACCTCATAATAGAACAATTCCATGTTTCGGCTGATCTTTCTATAGCATATGAAGACAGCGTCTCATCTGTGTCTTATTGATTGGGCAAAATGCTAAGTCTTGCATGTCGACAGAGTAGGGAGAACAATGCAAAGCTACCACTTGCATTATCAAAGCAAAATTGATATAGATATAAAGCTTCTTTTTGCTTTCTTTAAATTGAAGCATTTATGCTTCAAATTATTGAGCTCATGACACACCTTAGAGTTTTGTTCATTGATGGAAGTGTTTAATTTACAAGGAGATTACAGATGTGGCAGCATTCAAAGGAAGGGAAGAGAGAGAGAGAAAAAACTAAAAGATATAAAAGGGCTTGTATAGATGCATTACCAGAGTATCTTTTAATTCAAGATCTAAATCACTTCTGAGCTTCATCAAACTAAATTGAAATTGAAAACTGCAGAGAGAGCTTGAAATCAAAATTAAACCGAGCAATATAGAAATCAACTACGTCTAATGGAGCAGATAACAAACAGCAATACAAAAACAAAAACAACGCACCTGAAATTCAAATCAAACTATCAATCACAAAGCGTCTTTAACAGAAAATATAACAAATTAGAATGTTTGAATCAATTTAGAAAACAAAGTTACATGAGTCACATTGAACTTCATGCGACTCAAAACCAAATTCAAAATGCAATGCATCAGAGCTTTATCAGAAGTGAACTAATCGATATATATGTACATATATATATATATATATATAGAGAGAGAGAGAGAGAGAGCTTCATTAGCATTTGCATCTACTATTACTAATATTACTACTTGATTCACCCTTTTCTCATGAGCAATCCAAAATCGTCAATTGAAAACCCTAGAATTCAATCAATGCTTAATCTGAAGTGATAGAGAGAGATGAGAATGATAGAAATCTCAAGAATAAATACTGTACTAAACCCTAGAATTGAAAATTTTGAGGTCTCTATAGTCTGCTCGAGCAAGAAAGAGAAAGAAAAGCGCCTGTGACGAAGAGGAGGCGCAGCGGAGGGGAGGTAGGGAGGTAGGGAGGGAGAGAGGATTAATTCATAGAAATTTGGCTTACCAATTATGAATCGATTGAAATCTTCATCAACAATTGATCAAAATCTTCAAATCTTCAACAACAATTGATCAAAATCTTCAAACGAACACGATTTTGAGAGTGGAAAGTCGAAAGAGAGAGTCAGGCGAGCGTGCACGCGCGCGCGCGCGCACGAGAGAGAGGGAGAGAGAGAGAGAGGGCAAGGTTTTGGGGGGTTTTATTGTTTATTTATTTATTTTAGTCAAGAACGCCATTGGGGGTTTAAGTAAAACGAGATTTTCGATACAAAAAGTTTTTTTTTGCGACGGTCAAACAATCCATCGCAAAAAAATAGACACAAAAACACATATTTCTAGTAGTGTGAGCAAGAAATTTAGAAAGCAATGAGAAATCCCCAAAATCAGTCCAAGATTGTGGTGTAGGTGTCCAAACCATGAGTATACAATTGGAAATTGAAGAAATTTCACCCAATTCGTGCAAACATCAAAATCTAAAGAAATTTGTTCAAAGCTATGTAGAAATTCACAAGAATCAAAAGAGGAATTAGAAAATCTTTCGTTTTTGAAATCCAATCGGTTCAAATCGAAGAGGGGGCAGTGATTGTCTCGGATTTGGGTCGATGTAGATTTGGGCAATAGGAAATGAAGAGAGAATCTAGAGAGAGAGAGAGCTTTGGAAGGAGGGGAGTTGTTTTCGTACGTGTGTGTGTGTGAGGAAAATGAGCCTTAGATGTGTCTTTAAACCAATTGGATCTTAAACCCGTTTTTTCTGCCCGTGCTTGAACAAATTGGCCAACCGGCACTTTTTTTGGCCGACCAGCTAAGTTTTCTGCCGTTAGGATTTTTTGTTGGCCGGCCGGCCGGCAGATGTTTTGGCCGAACGGGTCATTTTTTGTCTGGATCAGCCATAATTTGGTCGCATTGCTCTGATTTTGTACAAGAATTTCAAAAATTGGCTAGGCCACTCTTGTGTTTGTACGGATAGATTCATGTGATGAGCCGAAGTGTTTTATTTTCATCCGATGATGATCAAAGGGCACACCCAACTCGTCTCTGTACTTAGAAACTCGAAAATGGCATTTAGAATGTATGCTTTGGTGTTTCAACTCTGATTTCAGATTCGGTTAAAACTTTCCCCCTCTCCATATAAAATACGGTTAAGTACACCTGTTGGTCACATCATCTTTCCTCCTCTCGCGTGAAATGCGTTAGGATTTCAGTTTACGCGGTTAAAACCTTTTCCCTCTCCATATCAAATATGGTTAGGTATCCCTGTTGGTTACACCACCTTTCTTCCTCTTGAGTGAAACGCGCTAGGATTTTAAATTACTCGGTTAAAACATTCCCCCTCTCGGTACGAAATACGGTTAAGTACACCTATTGGTTACACTGCGTTTCATCCTCTTGCGCGAAACGCGTTAGGATTTCAGATTACCCGGTTAAAACCTTCCCCCTCTCCGTATAAAACACAATTAGGTACACCTGTTGGTTATACCACATCTCCTCCTCCTGCATGAAACACACTAGGATTTTAGATTACCTAGTTAAAACCTTCTCCATTTTCGTATGAAATACACTTAGGTACGTCTGTTAGTTATACCATCTTTCCTCCTTTTGCGTGAAATGCGTTTGGATCTCAAGTTCACATTTTCTCCTCTTCCGTTAGACGTGCCTAACTTTGAATTGGCTATGCGGAAGCGCATAAGTCCAACTTTCAACCAGCTGTGCAGAAGCGCGTAAGTCCAACTGTCAACTGGCTATGCGGGAGTGCGTAAGTTCAATTTTCAATTGCATTTCGAGCAAGTTATTTGCATGAGGTTTGCCTCACATGTTGTCATCTTTACAGCTTTATCATCATTGCATTGCATTGATCATGAATTTTCAAAAAAATCGGCTTCGCGAAGCGTGTAAGCCCAGCTTTCAAATGTATTTCGAGCATGTCGTTTGCATTTTGCCCCTGAACTACGCTAGTTTGATTCTTTGCAAAGGGATACATAAGCAACCTTCCGGTTCAACCAACTGCATTTGCATCTTGTTTGTTTGCCAAAGTCTTGCGACCTTGTCAAAATGGTCGTCTTCAGGCTTTGACATTCACTCACGCCATGAAATGACTTCAAGTTCTGTCAAAGGGGGACAACTGTAGACACTTCATTTTGACTGGCCCTAAGACTCGAGTGCTTTCTTTGATTATCTGATGATGAAAACAAGAAGGTATTTCTCACAACATCCTTAGTAAGAAAGACGGAATTTTGGCTTCATTTCCAATCCTAAGCCTATTTTGGCCAAATATTTAAGTCCCATTCAAAACCCTCTTTCGAAACTTTCTTTCTACACTATATATTAAATATTTCGTTGTGTTTCGAGGCTCATATTTAAACTTCGAACTAAAACATTTTCTAAGGAAATTGAGCAAAGGACAATATGGAAATAGGAGGAAATGATGAGAAAAATCCTGTTTCATGCAAACTAGTCAAGCTACGACCAACTTTTTGGCCGGCAAGCCAAGCTATTGGCCGGCTGGCTAATTTGCCTAGGAGCAAGGCAGTTTCGGCAGAATTTTTGTTGAATGCATGTGGGTCATGCCATTTCAGATATTTCTGAGATATTCATGCACGAGATGGATACCTACTTCCCTCCATTGTCCTCATTTGGCCTCCATTGTCAAAAGGATGTTTGTCTTCTTCCAAAAAGAGAGCATCCAATGCAATCATCCTTGTCACCCCATCAACCTTGTCTCCCACCTTCTTGACTTTGCCTTCCATCATTGTCTATATGGGGGAGATCAGAATGTATGTATCGAGGGGAAGAAAAGAAGAAGAATGAATTAAGAGAAGAGAGATAGAGAAAAGAGAGAAAGCCTTAAGCTTTGAACCAAAAACTTCCATTTTCTATGTACACTGATATACCATCTTTCTATATACGAAAATCATCTCAGAAATTCTGTTATAACCATATTCAAGAGCTTTGATTCAAAAGAGAGTGAGTGTTCTTGAAAGAAAGAAAAACAGAGAGTTGAACAACTCCCCTCAAACACACTGTTAAACAACCCCAAAACACCATTCTAACAAGAATTTCGAATTTTCGAACTGAGGATTGAGGACACACTTCCTAAACTTGAGGGTAATCAACAGGAAGTTTAGATATAAAATCATTTCCTTGGAAGTGAATTTCGCACACTTTTATTTTCTTGCTTTTTCTTTCTTATATTGTTTTTCTTGCTTCAATTTCATGTTATAAACCTGTTGTAAGCTAACTGGAAGTGGTTAGTTGAGCTACTTGCATATTTTCCATTTGTTTTTCTGGTGTTTGCAACAAAACAGAGTTTTAGGCTTGGCGCCGGCCGGCCGGCCAACTTTTTGGCCGGCCAGCCAACTTCTTTTGGGACAGAATAGAACAGTCTCCCGACGATGATCAGAACAATTTTCGATCGTCTTCGAAGCCCCCTGAAGCTTCTGTTTTTGTTTAATTAGAGAGATTTTTTATAATTGTAATTTGTTAGAAGATGGCAAATAATTGTAGTTTTTCATTTATGTTTCTAAAGATTTTTGTCTTTGTATTTGTTTTTTGTGGAAACTTTGTGTAAGCCTATGCCTAGGCTTACAGACTTTTGTACAAAGTCGCAAAGTTTTTGGACGTATTGGTGTTGTAAATTTCAACAAATTAGATATGTAATAACTGTAGATAGACATTTTGGATTAGGATAAGTTTTTGGTTTTTGTTTCTATCTACAAGATGTATTGTATAAATTGGCATTCAAGCCAATGAATGAAGCAATGTAAATTCTCACAATCTCTTTGTTGTCTACATCTTTACTTAATTTCTCTAACTTTCTCTGAACTCCATAACTCCATAATAAAAATAGTAGAAAGCTCATTTCCTTTTTGTTTTAGGTAGTGGGAAATTGCACATGTGAAGTGATAGGGGAACTTAATTGCTCATTGCTTGGCTAGGATGCCAGTCAAGTTGAATGGGAATACTGTTTATGCTGACTTAGGGTTATTTTGAAAAGTTGGTTAAAAGTTATTTTTATTTAATTTTTTTTTGAAAAAACATATAAAAAATAGATGTAGCACCCTGAATTAAACACAACAACCCATCCACAATAGTGATTAAAAGATGACATAAGAAGAGATAAGCACTTCCATTAATTTTAAATTTCTTATACAAAAGAGCAACACATGCAACTATACATTCATATGCCTAGCTCTGAATCTATAGCATGTGTTACATAGTGAAGAACAAAATGAAAGGTAAACAAATAAGAGAATGCCCTAAAGGCTTACAACTTTCCAATTTAGTACTTGGTTACAACAAAAATGGATTTAAATCCCAATACATACAAAAGCCTTGGGCTTGTACAAAACAAAATACATAATTAAACAAAATGAAGCTCTTGCTCCATGTCCTCCCAAGCTATAGCCATGGCGGAGACATATCATCTGCACCTGAAATGTTTTTCCCACATAGGGTGAGTCAAAGCCCAGTAGAAATAATCCAACACAACGTATGAATCTTTGTAAAACTATAAGAGTAAAATGCACATGCAATGGTCATGACAAAACATTTTATATCTCTTTCGAATCATGCCATGCCAGGTGGCCAAATTGCTCTATACCCAGATTTGAAAGCTGCAGCAAAAGACAAGGCTCAACAGTTTGTCTGTTAAGGGCTTGTGGCATGTTTAAGCTGTTTATGCTTTGTTTTTCTATTATTGAGTTGTATTTTGAATTTTGGACAGTTGAAAGCTCAATGACCAATTCAAAACTTACTGAAAATTAATCATTCTTAGTTTCAAATTCACAAACAAATGTGGCATGCCATTCACGCCACGATGTCCAGAATGAAAATCGCTTTTATTCAAATTGAGGATCTAAACTTTCCAATTATAGTTTTGAAAACAAGAAAATTTCAAAAACATAAAAAATGGAAGAAAAAAAAAACATCTGAAGCTTTAATGCTCAATTCCTAAGCAAAATACAGGGTAAAAGAGAAAAGAGACACGAGGGGGAAAAAAAAGGAAGAAGAAGAAGAAGAAGAAAAAGAATAAAAATAAAAATAAAACCCAGAGATTGCAAGCATGGTTCTTAGTTTCCAGCAACTTGTGGCTGACATCTTAGCTTCACCACTTGCTTCCATTGTCAGCCGCCTCACTTCAGCATCACTAGCGAGAAGCTCTTGAAGACTCTGCCTCAGCATTTGTAGAGCTTTCAAAGGAGATTACTCCCCACCGGCCATCAAATGAAAAGTATGAAGGAACTCCGAATCGGGCCATGGAGGTAGCCTGTTGTTTCAGCTCTTTGTTATGCTTTTTCAGTGCGTCAATCTCTTCTCGAGCATCATTGTACATACGTTGGAGCAGAGAGAGTTGTGCATTTAACAGATGTACCTTAGTTGTCCTATTTTATAGCCGGTGGGATAAATTGGAAACCGCGGTCACCGTCTCCACACAGGACTTTAATGTGTAGTGATTGGCATTAATGTCAAACTACGCTGCCATTGTTTACTCGACTGACATCGCAGGGAAGCTGAGAATAGGAGCATGGGTAGAGGCACTTGGTCGAGGCTTAGAGGAGCCATGTCAAGGTTGAAGAAGTTTGGGTTATGGCAGAGGGTGTATTTTGGCAAGCTTTTTGTTTCTACTATGTCTCCCTCGCGAGTGTTGGTTAAGAAGAGAACAGAGGAGAAGAAAACGCCAAAGAAGAGGGGTTGCCGATGCAATCATCGACAATCAAGGTCGGGCCAGATGTTGCCAGTTAGGTGTCGCAATTGTTGAAATCGCACACCAGACACGGCACTCGACGAAGACGAATGAGGAAGAGAGGGGCACAAACATGGGAGGAGAGTGTGTATGTATACGTATACCGTATGTGTATAATATATATTTATGTATTTGTATATAATATATATTTATATATTTGTATAGGTATATAATTTGTTTGTGTATATATATAATATGTATATGTATCCTTATCTTGTATATTGTCCATACGTATATATAGTGTATACATAATATATATTTTGTATATATATATAGTTCGTATAAGTATATGTGTGGTACGTATATGGGTCTATACTGTATGCATATATAGGCTTGCATATGTATAAATACATCATTGGTGTATGTTTGTATAAATTTAATCCTTTTTTTGTATATCTTATATTGTATATTTTATAATATCATTTAGGATTTGAGATAAGTATATATACATGCATCATGTAATTTGCTCATTCATGTACATAAAAGAAAGAGACCATATATATATCATCATAAGTTTTAGGTCATCATTTTACATCAAAATAAAAAATAAAAAATAAAAAATAAAAGAAGAAGAAGAAGAAGAAGAAGAAGAAGAAGAAAAAAAAAAAGAAAAGGAGAAAATGGAAAATACATCATGAAAAAATGAAGAAGAAAATACAGCATAAAGAAAAAAGAAAAAAAAAGCAACGTGGGAAGATAAAAATATAAAAAAATCTTATTCACAAGGTACATAATCGAATTAAAAATTTGGTTTAGCGAGGTCAGCACCAGCATCTCCGCCACTATCACTCTCCTCAATGCTCTCTCTATTGTCCTCCTCGAAGTGCTCCTCAAATGCCTTTAGCTCTGGCTCGGGAACCTCAGAGGATGCTCTCCTCCTTCTCCTACCCTGGCCATCTCTACCATAACCTCACTCAACCCGACCTCCTCTTTCTCATCCTGGAGCTCTCCATCCTTTCCTCCCCATGGCTAGAGAAAGGGGTATCTGAAAAAGATAAAGATCATAATATCAGAACATGTGGCATAAAATAAGTAGTATATCAAAAGTGAATGAAACAAAAAGAACTGCATAAGGGATGAAATGAGTAAAGAAAATGATATCTCAATCCCAATAGAGATTAGAGAGATGCCTCCCTCCTCCGCACCATGACCATCAGTGTGTTGATAAGCTCTAAGCACTGATTAGTGTAACCCATCTCTAGGTACTGCAGTCAAAAGAGAGATTAGTACTGAAAAGAAATAATGAGAAATAAATGAGAAAGTAACAAGGAAAAGGGTGTACCAGTTGAATCTCAAGAGTAAGGACGAGCGATCATCGTCCAAGAGACTCCAAAGGTAGCTCATCCAGAACGCCATTCAAGGTCTAAAATATAACCGCTATGGGAAGTATCGGATGTCCGAGAGAAAGGGCAACATCACTAGCAGGAGGTGCAAGACCTCTAGCGGCAAGAGAGCATCATCACCAGTGGCATGGGCATTAGCAACTCCGATGGCGCGAGCCATCTCTTAGTTAGAGGTGGCATGATGTGAAACCACAAGAATGCGGTATAGTTTCTGGGGACATAGAAGGCATCAGCAGCTGCCCCAGCATCATATCATCAATGAGGGCCTCGTTAGTGATATCATCAACAATCCTCATGAGCGAAGGAAGAGAAGACGAAATGTGAGGTTCGACATGGCCCAAAGTCTGGCGGGTGAATCGCTCTCTCAAGTACCAGACTCTGCAAAAGGGGCCCTCTAGTAGCACCCTCATCTAGGAAGTCTCCTAGGTAGCAACATATCTCTCCCTCATTGCGGTGGGCATTGGTGTCCCAGGGTGCCGCTCAATCTGCAATGAAGAATGAACAACTTAGTGGCCTGATGTAAAAGACAATAAAAGGGAAAAGAGAGTTCTTAGAATGATTACCATGTCAGCAATCACTGTATCGAAGAAACGACGAAAGGCGATGAAGCTACGGATATACCAACAGCGAGGGCAAAGCCTCCCATCATAGTACAGGGAGCGAGGCACTGCTAGGGGTATCTCAAATCTTGGGATCGGGGCGATGGAGAAAAAGTAAGTGTAAAGTCATAACTGCACGAAAGCATGTCAAAAAATCAACAGGCAAAAGAAATGGAAACGAAACAAGTACATGAAATATAGTTGAATTAAAAGAAAGTGCAGAATGTACCTCACATGCTCTTTAGTAGCCTCTAAGTAGCTTCGCCTTTCAACGAGACACGTAGCTCATGTACCCATAAAGGGTGGCAAGGCTAATTCCACCCTAGTCATCCTCCCTCACCCGTTCGAGCTCCACCATGTTGCTCAGTAGATAAAGACCTATGGTATTATCCCTGTTCGCAAATAGGGTAGAACCGATGACATAAAGAAAAAACCCACGGGCATACTGGGCAAGCTCCTCTAGAGTCACTAGCTCTAACCCGTGGAAGTGCTGCAAGAGCCAGTTGTACCTGATCATTCCATGGCGAGTGAGGGACGAGACAGCCCCAAGAAGGAACATCTGAGCAACCAGCCACTGGCTCAAGTCAAGGATTAAACGGGATTGGATCACCGCCCACCGAGATACCAGTGACCATAGAGAAGTCATAGGAGGTCATCGTCATCTCCTTGGCAAACGAGAAGTGGAAGGAGTTTGTGGTGTCCCACCACCTCTCTACCAAGGCGCTAAAAATCGACCGATCCGCTTGCAATGATGTGATGCCCAAGTAGAATGTGCCTAATTCGGCTCTCTCCACCAAGGTACGGACCTCAATGGGGGTCTCTGTACCACTGGCGAGCGCCATGGACGCTCCTATATCCACTCATCCGCTTGCCGGTGACCTGTGACAAGATAATCGTTAGCACACAAGAGATTGAAGCTATCAAATGTGTTTAAAGCATTGATACGCTAAACAAAAAAAGAAAAAAAAGAAGGAATATCGTGGAGGACTCATAGAAGAGGTGCCTCAAGCGCTCCCGGAGCAACACATCCTCTGCGACCTACCGAGAGAACTTAATAAAGCGTAGCATTCCCCCCCGAACCATCGTATATGTAAAAAATATATGTATTATTGATATTGATTGATTGATGTAATTACAAGATTGATAAATTACAATTCCTATACAATCTATATATAGAAGAAAATGTGGTAGTAGGTGTAGTGGAGGTGATAGTGGGTTAGGTGAAGTGGAGGTAGGTGAAGTGGAGTGTGTAGTGGAGTAGGTGAAGGTAAAGATGGGAAATTCTAACAGTATATGTACGAGGTTTGTAGGCCACATGATCAAATGGCCTTACCCTCAAAGGGACTAGTTCTGGTGCTGCATCAAAATCCTCGGCCATGATATCCTCATCGTGTCCCTCAACATCTGCGACAAGTGCAGGAATATCATCTCTAGGCACAGGTGATGGTAGGTCACCTTCTGCGACGATAGTAAGTGGTACAATATCGTGCAGAGCATCGTCACTAGCCATGACAATCTGTGGAATCAAAGAAAGAGTACGAGAAATCCCAACCCAAGTTATAGCAATCAAAACATCAGTCAAAAGGGAAAATTTGGAATAGTGATTGAAATGTTCTAACATTGTTAAAATTTTGGAAGAAAAATGCAAAATCAGTGGTAAATTGAAGAAAATCTCGAGATTTAATTTCAACAATGTTAAACTGAGGACAACGCGTAAAAAAAAAATCGACAATGTGAATTCAAGGTTGAAGTAAGGAATTTGTGTTCAGTCATGGAAATTTTATTCAAATACCCAAATCAAGTTGAAATTCATGGTTCAAGTTTCATTCAATCAATGGGGCATGTGGCAAAATTGTGAATAATCCAAAGACATGGGCAATTCATGGGCAATTGATCAAGCACTCAAGGAAAATTGTAAAGAACAATGAGTCATGGTATGGAATCAATGTTCAAACAATGAGTAATCATCCAAAATTCAAGCAATTCAAAGCAGCTATTGTTCAAATCCATGGTCAATTGACACTACTAAAACTACTTTTTGTAACCGCTATAAGCCACTGCAAATAATAAAAATACAACCGCAAAATATCTTTTGCGATAGGTCATGCAACGGCAAATAGAGGTCGCGAATGTAGGGGTGACAAATACTTTTGCGACCGTAAAACAACAATCGCAAACTATTTGCGACCATCTAACCTACTTATGGCGACTAATGTTTTGCCATCACAAAAAAGTTTTAAAAATACCTACAATGTATTAGCGACCATCCTATTACCATCGCACCAAAAAAAAAAATACAGTATAACATTAAAAATCTGGGAATAGCTATGGCCAAAACACTATCCATTAAGCATCAACAAGAAACATAACAATGTAACGTTCAAGAGGTGAAATGGGACTTGGCAACATAAAAAACATTGAAAATGAAAAAAAAAAATAAATAAATAAATAAAAATAACAAAGAAAAAAAAAAGAAGAAGAAACACACCATACCCCTTCCAAGCTCTTAAGTAACTTGCTCACAAACAATAATCAAGTGTCAATGTTCAAGAAGAGTCTCGGGAGCCTTATTAATCCATTAAGTTTCAAATAAAACCAAATAACTAGCTTCAAACAAAGCAAAAAAATACTATCTGAAAAACTCCATGCCAAGTGAAGATGTTCAATTAAAGAGGCCCTACGAAAATCCCATTCTCCTGTTGCTCATTCCACTTTTCAGTCTGTAGTAATTAATGCAAAAAGAAAAATCAGAACATATACTAAATGAGGTGCCTTTAATTTTTATTAGTTTTACAATAATCAAGAAAAGATCGTATACATCAAAATGTTTACAAAGCATAGATTTCCCATTTCCTTGATATAAGCCTTAACTATTACATTATACTTTGAAGTTACTTCTACATATTCATGTTGTTCATCTACAATCCAATCATCATCAAAGTAATTTGTGGAAATATATATATATATATATATATACATGTAATATATGTATTCCTAGGTTAGTAGCCATTAACAATAGAATGGGTGATTGAAGCATTATATTGTACCTTTCAATCAGATTCCAATGTCCCGTATTTTGGTTTGCTAGCAACTTTCAAGACCTCGTATCTTGTGGCCTTTGAAACCAAATTTTGAGATTAATGATCAGTGAGAAAGGAAGGGACAAAGAACGGATAAAAAAAGTATATATAATCACTACTCTGCCCTAGGTTTATCTTGTTAAAATTGATATCTAACACACATATGGCTTCTAGAATACGGAAATTCACATATTGCTCTTCGAAGAATCATAATTCAGATAAAGAAATGTTGGAGCAAACAATAGGAAAAGATGAGCAATATAATTGAGCTTCTTTTTCTTTTTTAACCAAACCCAAGTCTTTCGAAACAAATTAACAAACCAAGCACTTTTGAACTTGTTTTTATTCAGCCTAGTGTTTTTGAAACACACTTCATGAAACAACCAGCATTTGGTAAATAATATGAAGAAAACAAGTTTCCAGTAGCCTTATTCATTAGCAAGTATACAACTAAATTATATCAGAAGCACTAAAAACGTTACCTGTGATTGAGAGAACCATGCCCCCTAGGGACACCCAACCTTCAATACCAGTGCTTCTGAGGAACTTCAACATGTAAACTGGAAAAAGTGCATGAAATATATGCGGATTCCACGTGATAATGTTATATTTAAGGTTGTGTTTGGATCTTAGATTTGTGGAGAGAAAAGAAAAGGTAAGAGAAAATTAAATGAAGTAGAGGCTTTTTTTTTTCCTTCTTCCCCTTTGCCTGCACATCCAAGATCCAAACATAACATAAAGGTAACAAAGAACTAAACTTACTCTCATGAAGTCCTGTGAATTTAAGTTTAACACCTGAAATTGCTAAAAGAACTAAAAAAAAAAAGGAAACATGCAAATCTCTTAAAATAATGGAACTGTAATCCTGAAAATACAACCTTTCTAAAAATAGAACAGATAGAGAAGTCCCTGTACATGGAATTGAAAAATCCTTCACATATCCGTTTTGACTTGGAATTTGTGTTTCATCATTTAGAATTCAGTGGAAAAAGAGAGAAAAATTTCCATCATAGAACTCATATAAAACACAACTGTTAGGCATGTAAACAGACAGAAGAACTGTCATTTTCACTCTTGCACACTAAAAAATAATTCCAGTAACACAATCTTTGGTTAAGATTCTTTACTTTACCCCCATAATTTTTGTTACATCATGAATATGCTTACCCCTTGTCACAAATTCAGTTGGTCCATGCCAAAGAGTAAATTTAAATTACGTTATTATCTCTATGAGCAAAATCATCAATAAGAACATAGGCAGACAACCTACTTCAAGAGAATATTGAGAGATTTTCAACTTCATAAGTCCAAATGGAGAACTTATCCTATTAAATCTAAAGCCAACTCAAATTCAACAATGGCCAACCATTACTTTTCCATGTTATTGTTGAGGGAAAAATAAAGAAAAGAAAAGAAAAATCACATTTTCTCCTTTCCACGAGTGATGAATGTAAAAGAATGATAGAAGTAGATTTGAAATACATGTATTACATATAGCTATACAAAATAGAGCTCTGCTGAAGGTATGTGTTAAGGAGCAGTGTTCATCCAAGTATAGGTTTGGACATGTCATTTGCTAGACAACGCATATGATTTTTATGTTAGTAAATAAATTTATATAACTCAAATTGAAATCCATTGTTAAAATCCAACCAACCACTAGGCTAGAGATTTATTTATTTATTTATCTTTTTTGGTGATTGGCTGAATTGAACGATTGAATTTAGAATTTTATATTCATTACGGATATCAAGGTTTAAAACAAGAAAGAAGAAAGCACTGCAATATCAATATCAGCTACCTGATATAGCAGGAGTGAGTATACCATCACCAATTGCCATAGACGTTCCAAGCAAAACAAAAATCAATAGACCCTTGAGATGCTACTCGAAGAATGACCTCATAATAGAACTCTTCCATGTTTCGGCTGATCTTTCTATAGCATATGAAGACAGCGTCTCATCTGTGTCTTATTGATTGGGCAGAATGCTAAGTCTTGCATGTCGACAGAGTAGGGAGAACAATGCAAAGCTACCACTTGCATTATCAAAGCAAAATTGATATAGATATAAAGCGTCTTTTTGCTTTCTTTAAATTGAAGCATTTATGCTTCAAATTATTGAGCTCATGACACACCTTAGAGTTTTGTTCATTGATGGAAGTGTTTAATTTACAAGGAGATTACAGATGTGGCAGCATTCAAAGGAAGGGAAGAGAGAGAGAGAGAGAGAGAGAGAGAGAGAGAGAAAAAAAAAAAAACTAAAAGATATAAAAGGGCTTGTATAGATGCATTACCAGAGTATCTTTTAATTCAAGATCTAAATTACTTCTGAGCTTCATCAAACTAAATTGAAATTGAAAACTGCAGAGAGAGCTTGAAATCAAAATTAAACCGAGCAATATAGAAATCAACTACGTCTAATGGAGCAGACAACAACCAGCAATACAAAAACAAAAACAACGCACCTGAAATTCAAATCAAACTATCAATCACGAAGCGTCTTTAACAGAAAATATAACAATTTAGAATGTTTGACTCAATTCAGAAAACAAAGTTACATGAGTCACATTGAACTTCATGCGACTCAAAACCAAATTCAAAATGCAATGCATCAGAGCTTTATCAGAAGCTAACTAATTGGTATATATGTACATATATATATATAGAGAGAGAGAGAGAGAGCTTCATTAGCATTTGCGTCTACTATTACTAATATTACTACTTGATTCACCCTTTTCTCATGAGCAATCCAAAATCGTCAATTGAAAACCTTGGAATTCGATCAATGGTTAATCCCAAGTGATAGAGAGAGATGAGAATGATAGAAATCTCAAGAATAAATACTGTATTAAACCCTAGAATTGAAAATTTTGAGGTCTCTATAGTCAAGCCAAAAAGAGAAAGAAAAGCGCCTGTGACGAAGAGCCAGCGGAGGGGAGGGAGGGAGGGAGGGAGGGAGAGAGGATTAATTCATAGAAATTTGGCTTACCAATTATGAATCAATCGAAATCTTCAAATCTTCATCAACAATTGATCAAAATCTTCAAATCTTAAACAACAATTGATCGAAATCTTCAAACGAACACGATTTTCAGAGTGGAAAGTCGAAAGAGAGAGTCGAGACGAGAGAGAGAGAGAGAGAGAGAGAGAGGCTTTGGGGGGTTTTATTGTTTATTTATTTATTTTAGTCAAGAACGCCATTGGGGGTTTAAGTAAAACAAGATTTTTGATAGAAAAAGTGTTTCTTTGCGACGGTCAAACAATCCATCGCAAAAAAATAGACACAAAAAACAGATATTTCTAGTAGTGTGAGCAAGAAATTTAGAAAGTAATGAGAAATCCCCAAAATCAGTCCAAGATTGTGGTGTAGGTGTCCAAACCATGAGTATACAATTGGAAATTGAAGAAATTTCACCCAATTCGTGCAAACATCAAAATCTAAAGAAATTTGTTCAAAGCTATGTAGAAATTCACAAGAATCAAAAGAGGAATTAGAAAATCTTTCGTTTTTGAAATCCAATCGGTTCAAATCGAAGAGGGGGCAGTGATTGTCTCGGATTTGGGTCGATGTAGATTTGGGCAATAGGAAATGAAGAGAGAATCTAGAGAGAGAGAGAGAGAGAGAGAGAGCTTTGGAAGGAGGGGAGTTGTTTTCGTACGTGTGTGTGTGTGAGGAAAATGAGCCTTAGATGTGTCTTTAAACCAATTGGATCTTAAACCCGTTTTTTCTGCCCGTGCTTGAACAAATTGGCCAACCGGCACTTTTTTTGGCCGACCAGCTAAGTTTTCTGCCGTTAGGATTTTTTGTTGGCCGGCCGGCCGGCAGATGTTTTGGCCGAACGGGTCATTTTTTGTCTGGATCAGCCATAATTTGCCGCATTGCTCTGATTTTGTACAGGAATTTCAAAAATTGGCCGGGCCACTCCTGTGTTTGTACGGATAGTTTCATGTGAGAACCGAAGTGTTTTTATTTTCATCCGATGATGATCAAAGGGCACGCCCAACTCGTCTCTGTACTTAGAAACTCGAAAATGGCATTTAGAATGTATGCTTTGGTGTTTCAACTCTGATTTCAGATTCGGTTAAAACTTTCCCCCTCTCCATATAAAATACGGTTAAGTACACCTGTTGGTCACATCATCTTTCCTCCTCTCGCGTGAAATGCGTTAGGATTTCAGTTTACGCGGTTAAAACCTTTTCCCTCTCCATATCAAATATGGTTAGGTATCCCTGTTGGTTACACCACCTTTCTTCCTCTTGAGTGAAACGCGCTAGGATTTTAAATTACTCGGTTAAAACATTCCCCCTCTCGGTACGAAATACGGTTAAGTACACCTATTGGTTACACTGCGTTTCATCCTCTTGCGCGAAACGCGTTAGGATTTCAGATTACCCGGTTAAAACCTTCCCCCTCCCCGTATGAAATACAGTTAAGTATGCCAATTGGTTACACCACCTTTCCTCCTCACGTGAAACGCGTTAAGATTTCAGATTACCTGGTTAAAACCTTCCCCCTCTCCGTATAAAATACAGTTATGTATGCCTATTGGTTACACCACCTTTCCTCCTCTCACGTGAAATGCGTTAGGATTTTAGATTACTCGGTTAAAACCTTCCCCCTCTCCGTATGAAATATGGTTAGGTACACATGTTGGTTACACCACATTTCCTCCTCTCGCGTGAAATGCATTAGGATTTCAGATTACCCGGTTAAAACCTTCCCCCTCTCCGTATGAAATACGGTTAGGTACGCCTGTTGGTTACACCACCTTTCCTCCTCTCGCATGATACGCGCTAGGATTTCAGATTACCCGGTTAAAACCTTCTCCCTCTCCGTATAAAACACAATTAGGTACACCTGTTGGTTATACCACATCTCCTCCTCCTGCATGAAACACACTAGGATTTTAGATTACCTAGTTAAAACCTTCTCCATTTTCGTATGAAATACACTTAGGTACGTCTGTTAGTTATACCATCTTTCCTCCTTTTGCGTGAAATGCGTTTGGATCTCAAGTTCACATTTTCTCCTCTTCCGTTAGACGTGCCTAACTTTGAATTGGCTATGCGGAAGCGCATAAGTCCAACTTTCAACCAGCTGTGCAGAAGCGCGTAAGTCCAACTGTCAACTGGCTATGCGGGAGTGCGTAAGTTCAATTTTCAATTGCATTTCGAGCAAGTTATTTGCATGAGGTTTGCCTCACATGTTGTCATCTTTACAGCTTTATCATCATTGCATTGCATTGATCATGAATTTTCAAAAAAATCGGCTTCGCGAAGCGTGTAAGCCCAGCTTTCAAATGTATTTCGAGCATGTCGTTTGCATTTTGCCCCTGAACTACGCTAGTTTGATTCTTTGCAAAGGGATACATAAGCAACCTTCCGGTTCAACCAACTGCATTTGCATCTTGTTTGTTTGCCAAAGTCTTGCGACCTTGTCAAAATGGTCGTCTTCAGGCTTTGACATTCACTCACGCCATGAAATGACTTCAAGTTCTGTCAAAGGGGGACAACTGTAGACACTTCATTTTGACTGGCCCTAAGACTCGAGTGCTTTCTTTGATTATCTGATGATGAAAACAAGAAGGTATTTCTCACAACATCCTTAGTAAGAAAGACGGAATTTTGGCTTCATTTCCAATCCTAAGCCTATTTTGGCCAAATATTTAAGTCCCATTCAAAACCCTCTTTCGAAACTTTCTTTCTACACTATATATTAAATATTTCGTTGTGTTTCGAGGCTCATATTTAAACTTCGAACTAAAACATTTTCTAAGGAAATTGAGCAAAAAACAATGTGAAAATAGGAGGACATAATGATAATTCTGTCAAAAAATCCTATTTTGTGCAAATTAGTCAAGCCAAGGCCAACTCAATGGTCGGCCGGCTAGTTTGCCAAAAGCAGGGCAGTTTCGATAGAATTCTTGTTGAATGCGTGTGCGAAGTGCCATTCCAAATCTTTCTTGATATATTATGCACGAGATATACACCTGCTCATCCTCCATTATCTTCCTTTGGCCTCCTTTGTCAAAAGAGCATTAGTCTCTTACCCCAAAAGGAGCATCCAATGCGATCATCCTTGTCATCCACCTTGTCTCCTCCCACCTACTTGATTGAGCCTTGCAGGATGTGTATCTACCCATCTCTCATTGTCAAGAGAGTTGGCCTCTTCAACAAAATCCTTGGCCTTTGTCATCTTATGGCCCTTGTTTTCAACCATGTCCCCCACCATCTTTTCCATGAAGCATTTTGCATTGCTTATGTAGAGGTGATCAAATTGTTGGGAGAAGTGGATTGATTCAAAGAAGAGAGATAAAAATAAATAAAAATAAATAAATAAATAAATAAAAATAAATAAAAAAACTCTCATTTTCTATATACACCATCATACACTAATATTACATCCTTGATGCACCAAAACCATTTCAAAAATTCTGATATAGCCAAATTCCAGTAGCCTTGATCAAGAAATAGTTTGTGTTTTTGAAAGAAAGAAAAATAGAGAGTTCCCCCCCAAACACTATTAAACAACCTAAAAACACCATTCAAACCAAAATTTTGAATTTTCAAACTGAGAGCTAAGAATGCACTTCCTAAACTTTGGAAACCAAATCCTTTCATTGGAATATGAATTTTGCACTTTTTAATTTTTTGCATTTCCTTTCTCATATTACTTCTCTTGTTTTGATTTCATATCATAAACTGTTGTAATCTAACCGGACGTGGTGAGTTAAGCCACCTACACACCCCTTGTTTGCTCTTTGTTTGAACTTACAATGAAACATAGTTTTGGCCTAACTTAATTGGCTAGCCAACCAATTTATTGGTTGGCCGACCAATTAATTGGCCGGCAGCTAAGTTTTTTGGCCGGCTGGCTCATCTTTTGGCCGGCCGGCTCATCTTTTTGCTGGCCAGTGAACCTCTCCTGGACAGAACCCAGCAACCTTCCGGCGTTGAGCAAAATAGTCTCTGATGGTCTCCGAGGCCCCCTGAAGCTTCTGTTTTTCCTGTTTTTCTTTTAATTTAAGAGAGATCTGTGAGGATATATCTTCTTGTAATATTTTCTTTCTTTCCCCTCTATTTGGATATGTAATATTTCAAATGTTGTAATAATTCCCGCACCGCTTTTTTCTATCCCATTCTTTTACTCACTTTTCAAATCTATACATATGCAATATAGTTTGCTTATCATCATATCCATGCTTTACATCCATGTTTCATGCATCTAGATTCTGTTAAATTTGCATCTGCGGGTTTAATCAATTATTACGTGATTTTGTGTACAATTTCATGTTCTTGATATGAATCACTTGTCATATTTTAGAAGCCAAATCACTAGTTGCATATCGTTAATGAATTGC